CTTCTGTCTTGCAGTTTCCCTGTATGTCCCTCTGTATGTTCTGCTACAGTCTGTGCATCCTTTCCATTAGGGGCCATCCAGACTCAGATAAATTACATTTACTGCAGACCAGAAGGCTCTTCAGACCTTACTGTCCTAGGATAAAAGAAAGAAAATGCTCAGGGTTTCAAATGTTCCCATGGTTGCAAAGGCCAAAAAACCCATCATGAGATTGGCCCACAGCATGGAAAATCTCAGCTTGTGTTTGATAGCTCAAAGCACCAGCAAACAGCATCTGGGGGGGAGGTGTCAAGCAAACATATCTAGTAGACAGCACCACTAGCTCTGCCCTGCAATGTCAAGTAGGAAATGATCTGGCAGGTTCTGTAGTAGTTGCTACAAAAATCTCTAACACAATGAAAATAAAGAGAGCCTCTCTGTTTCTGAAGTATAAATTCAAATTCACTCTTGTCTGAGGGAGAAATATTTGCTCCAAAAAAGCTGGAAAGTGACAAATGAGCCGGCAAGTGAAAGGGCTCAACATTCCCCCATGTTTACTTTTCCACCCAGAAACGACTCCTTCAAATTGTGCTTTAGCCAGAGCCCAAGGTGTGCTACACACTGCTGCACTGCAGACAGCTGGTGACCTTGCTCTAAGGCTTTGCCTTGGGTCACTCAGGGGGAGAAGACACCCCTGGGAGGTGCCTTCAGCCCCCACAGCCCCCAGACCTGCAGAGAGGCAGCACAACCCTCAGAAAGCAAATTTGCTGCCCTGTTGAGACCACTTCACTAAAACCCTGTCACATCCAATAGCGTGTTCTGCACAACTCTTACCACTCTGCAAGGTATGATTAGGACCTTCACTTCATGCTGACAGCACACATGGCACCTGTTTTTCTGTATCCTGACAAAGCTACAGCACAGCTTGAAAATTGTCTTGGTCAGGTGGACTAATCCAGCTACAGGTATGTCCCAAGCCACCCAAGTATCTCTGTTTTTTACCAGATAAGCTGCAAAACTTGATGGCTGGCTAATACACTAGGACTTAAGTTCATTCTTTCTGTACTCATGAACACAACTATGGTGAGAGATGACTCAGGAGTTGGAGCGGACATTTCTGTCCCTGAGGTGCACACTCCAGACAGGTAACAATACAAAGGATGGAAGCGTTCATAGGTACCCATCAGTGAGTCCCAGTCCTTCTCTTCTGTACCAGCATCTTTTCTGAGTCCAAGAGGAGGTGGTTCTTGCCCAGAACCAACAGGGATGGCTCAGTTCCCAGTGAGGGTCTGTACCAATCCAGAATCATACCATCTTGTGCCCTGCCTCCATGCTGCTGCTTTCATACATGGGAACAGCACATGGCATCGGCAACACAGTGACATGCAGCTACCCAAAGATGCTGTGTTCTGAGCCAGTGATTTTCCAGTAACAAAACCAGACAGAAATGGCATTTCCCTGATTTTTCACTGCCTTGTTTTCTCACTCCTTTTGGATGCACTTGCCTTGGTTTGTCAGGAACTGTCAAAAATCAGCCAGTGAGCTGAGCACTGCATCCCAAATAACTCAGGAGCAGCAGAAGAGCACATCAGGCTGTTGACCAAGGTCCTCCCCTTGAACACATCTGCATTAGCAAAGACATAAAAAGGGTATCTATCTAAGAATAAAATTACTGAACACTTAAGTGTTGCTATTTTCATTAGAGATTCATGAATGTTTTAAAGCTTCAGTTTACTTGGTGCTCAAAGAAAACATTGCAGACTTGGGTGAAGGGAAAACAACTGAGGGAAGGGGGAGGCAACTGCTGCAGCTATGAACGTTGAAGTGAAGGTGGGGAGGCAGAGAGGGAACGTGAAGTGGAGCTGATTCCTTGGTTGCACTTCACCTGCAGTTGTGCATCTAATGGAGGAGTCCTGGCCTTAAGTGGGTCTTGCAGTCCTTCTGGGAGAATCCAACTAACCAATGGACAGCTTTTCTTACCAGAGGTAGGGTGAAGACTAGACTCAGGGGAGCTCACCTGTGGTGCTCAGCCATAGGGTCCAGCCAGACTATGAGACCCTGCAAAGAAATGCAATGGGATAGCATCAAATTGTGAGGTTTTAAAGTTTGGAGACATCACCTGCTACTTCAGAAAATGTATGAAAAGGCACAGAAATCTACTCAAAATCGATGGGGACAGAGGGATAACCTGAATTGACCCAGCAAGATGGGTGGGATATACATTGTCAGGTGAGAACGGGAAGCAGTAAGACAATTGGCTGCTGTGACTGCCATGGCAGAGGCCAAGATGATGCAGCAAGAGGTGAAGTCAAGTCACAGAGGTGGGGGAAGAGCAGCACTGTTCAGGAGGCAACAGGTGGAAGAAGCAGCAGCAGAGACAGAAATGAAGTGCTGAGTGGGCAGAGGCTGTTTGGACTACTCAGACATGGGCCTGCCATGAGCAGAGTCCATGGCACAGGGATGGGTGCTCCTTCCTCCCTGCCCTTCAGGCTGGCCACAGGGAGCTCATGGAGCCCAAGGTGTATTGCTGGAGAGCAGGAAGGATTTGGTTAAGAAAAGCACAGTAATTTTGGATGAGTCATCTGTCCTCCATGCTCCAAACACAGATTCAAGGGTAAATTTTCCCTCAACAGTTCTACCACCCTGGGGGAGTCTTGATTTCACGTGTGAGGCAGGAGGAAGGCAGACAGCACTTCACTGCCTCCACAATGAGCCCAGTTGGTGACAGAGCAGTGGGCTGTCATGGCCAGGGGCCATGCAATTTGCAATTAAGTTTGGCAAGCACTTGCATTCTCAGTTATAACACACCATTGACTGAGGTGCATGGAAAGGTGGTGGCCTTGGCTGCAGGGTGTCCTGGAAGGAGCAGGAGAGCTGGTGACAGGGACAAGTCCTGTGGTCTCCTCAGCCTGACCCAGCCACCTGAGGGCTAGACTTTACAATACCAATGGATAATTCACAATGAATCTCAACATTTTACTACACATTTCACCTGACGTTATTTCATCCTCTCTAGAGCCATTTATTTGATCCAACTTCTAAATCCGAACTTCAATATGCAGTTACCTAAAAACAAAAAACAATCCTCACATGTAAGAGCCTAGAAATTAGGAGTTCAAAGCATAAAACCCCAGTACATCAATATTGACACACCCTGATGACTAGAGGGGAAAATGAAGACAGTTAGCTCAGAACCACATGAAGCTTTATGCATTCAAAAACACTGATAGGGTTTATTCAGAAAAAATTAACAGCCTCGCTTGGAATGAGATTAGCATTCCCATGAGGTGACATTTGCCATGATAATGGGAGCCAGAAACGCATTTTGCCCCAACAGTACAGGAGGGTGTGTACAATCCTCAAAGAGGCAATGAATCTCCCAGCTCCTCCCAAAAGCCTGCACAACCATTCCCACTAACCCATCTTCAGTTTCTGTTGGTGCGGAGTTGATCTTAATTAGTTTATTATTTTCTAGTTTAGCTTCCCTATCAGTTCATCTTCTTTTAACTATATCCTGCAAATTATTTTTTTTTAAGCCTTACATTTTTTCCTAAGAGATCCTCTAGACTTCAGCCAGATGGGGCCTCTTTTCTTTCCCTTGGCTCTACTCACTGTGAGAAGAATAAAAGCCTTCTCTGTTCTCTCTGGCCAGGTTTCCAGCACTTGTCAGATAGTTTACCTGGAAGGAGCATTTAATATTCTTCCATGTTGCAACAGACATCACAGACAGAAATAAAAGTATCTTCACTGCTGAAGGAGAACTGAAACTTAGAAAATATTTGCTTCCATCCCTCTTTTAGACCAAAGCAGAAGACAGAGGGGCACTCTCCCCACTCCACCATCCTTTACCTCTCAAGATGTTTTTGATCTTCAAGTTCTTTCTTTCACAGCACCACAAGAGCCAGAAGTGACCTCTGGCAGCCTCTGGTTTAGCTCCCCAACAGCTTGGATCAGTTATCAAGACGTTCTCCAGCTTGGAGTGAATTATCTCCAAGGATGGAGATCCCACACCTCACTGGGGTCACTGGCCCCAGTTGAACTGTTTGACCACCCACTTTGGCCTTTGCTGAGCAATCACCTGGAGCTATGCTGAAACCTTAAATTCAACAAATACTAGAGGAGGAGGCAGAGGGGACTGTACCCACTCAGGTCGTCCTTTGGGCCCTGCTCACCTGTGGCTCTCTCTGAACAGCTGGTGCTCAACAAAATGCAGTGTCTAAGGTAGTCCACAGTGAATACACAGAGACAGACACTTAGAAATAAAATTTGCTCTAATAATTACTGTGTTGATGTTCTTCCTCCTTCAGCTTGGTCTTTTCCATTTCCTGTGTGCCGTGCTAGAAGGGGCACAGGTAAGGTGGGACTGCTGACAGCCTCCATTGTAAACACACACTTGACAGAACATCTGACCTTCCTTTTTTGGCAAGCAGCTGTACTGCCCCAAGTATAAATACATTCTTTAGAAATACATAAACTCATAACTTAAAACCTGCTTCAACCCAGGAAGGACTCACAAGGAAAGAAATCCACTTTGTGATCCCAGGAGGAAGCTTATACATTCACAGAGTTTCATCTGGGTCCCTTGTTCAAGCCTCACATTCCTTGCACAAGTGCGAGGAGGGTCAGCAACCTTTCAGGTTCTGAGGCTGTGCTGCTTCTGTAGCATGTCTGTAGTGTTTTTGGGTTTCTTAACACCTTTAATGCTGTAAGGCTTTAGGCTCAAAGTCTCATTTGCAGAAAATATCTGCCAGTGCCTGTCACTTCAGGTGACATTGGGTTTTGCCTGGGAATGTTACGACTTATCAGATGGTCCTGTCCTTTGCCAGACACTACAATTCCTTGCTGCTCCTGTCCACTCCTGTGGGACAGGGGTTATTTCCAGTGAGCTTCAGGCCCTGCACGCCACAAAAGCCTTTTCAAAAAAGTAGCCCTGGCCTCCTTTGGACAGGCCAATAGCTGAGGCTGGGAAGCAGGTGACGGATTCTGATGTATTTAGCACTGGAACAGCACAGCCCGTGAGCTCAGGGGCAGTCCTGCCCTGGGCCAGCCCGGAGCAGCGCCGAGCAGAGCTCACTCAGGTCGCTCTCGTCGTTCTCTTCTGGCTCACTGCTGGTGTTGGAGGGTTTGCTGCTGGGCAGGCTGTGGCCTGGACCTGTCCTCAGAGGTGCTGGCTCTTTCGGGTCCGTGCTCAGTGCTGCCGCATCCTGGAGGCACATGCTGCCTGAGCAGACAGGAGTTCTCTGGTCATTTGGCTGGGAGTGATTTCTCTGGCTCAAAAACTGCCCGAGTAGAGATTTCCGGAGGGTTGTTTGCAGGGTTTCACAAGTCCTCTGGCTTGTGCTCTGTATGGTGTAATGCAAATCCAACTGCAGGACCACGTCCGTCTGGAAGGAAAGAGCAAAGCACGCAAAGTGAACTGGAGATTAAGACCTGAAGCAGAGGTGCCACTGTCAGCAACAGTGGTAGACCTGGCTGGCAGTTCTGCAGGCTCACAGCCCAAAGCTGTGGTGCAAGGGAGCAATGCTTCTGCCAGAGAAAACGAGCTGGCATGTACACTCATAACCTATGTGGGTCTGAGACACCGTTTCTGGATTTCATGACTTCTCCTGAAATCACACCACATCACTTGAGACCTCATCAGTCCTGTCAGGGCACTGTCACTGAAAGCATCATGCCCAGGACGCTGGCACAGGGGAGCAGGAGGGGAATCCTGGTCCAGCCTGCACCCAGAAAAGCTGCACCCATGTGTTGTAGGCAGATCCAGGCAGCAGCTCAAGAGCAACGTTCATTGTGAGCCCTCGTGGAGCAGAGCAGATAAGCAGCTGGCAAGATCCAATGGCTGGATCTTAGAAGAGAAAAAAATCAAGTAAGAACCAGGATGCACACTGCTGTTTGGGGAGAGTTAATCTGTTGGAAGAGACAAGCCAGAGGACTAGCAATTCTGCCTCTTTCATGGTCTTTAAGTAGTCTGAGAGTCTTTTGAAGTGTGCCAAAGAAAGAAGCATAGCTTAGATCAGGCTCGGTAGTGCCACTTTGATGGCAAGGGATAAAGCCTTCTGCTGCTAAAGATCCTGGCCAGCCCATAAGTCCATCTCTTAGGCAAGCACATAGCCCAGTGAGACATCCTTCATCTCAAATATTTGGGCTACAGTCAAAGAACAGCCTCCCTGCCTGGGCAGCACAGAAAAACAGAGCAAACTGAGAGAAAGAGGATGGCTTTTGTGCCTTGAGTGGTCAGCAAACTCCTGTAACATTGATCTGGATGTAACATGACACATGCCAGGCATCATCCACATGGAGTCACAAGACACGAGGCCAGAGGGGTACATCCAGCTCAAGCCAGCAGGGATGCAGAGTCCCAGTTATGTGAAAGTGCAGGAGAACTGTGGAGATTTGCACCCAGGAGCTCTCTACCTGGATGTTCTGTAGTCCACAGAGTGGGAAGACACAATCCAGCTCCTCCTGCTTGTACAAAGAAGTAAGCAAACACTCCACTTGGTCCAGGCAGCGCTCTCTCAGGATGGCCATGTCATCCACCTCCTGGGCCAGGAAAACAAGAGGAAACACAAGAAAATTTCAGTATCAGCCTGGGCATGGAGACACAAGTGCCCATTTCTGCACACAGCAGTGCCTGGGGCTGGCCTGTTCACTTAGCACTTTGGTGGAAAGACTGCATACCTGAAGTTCTGCAGAGTGCAAGCAAAGGCAATAGAGAGATTTTATACACCCACCTCGTGCATATCGATGGGAAGACCTAGCTAAGCATCCCATGAAGGCATCTAATGGGAAACCTGAGGTACCGTGGGATTTCCAGCAGAGAGCAGCAACAGTCGGTATCACAACCACCTGTAGCACAAGTGGTGTGGCAAAGAGGAGTGAGTTTTCTGAGGGCACAGCTGGAGAAAGCTCTGAGTTGCTCTGGGTGCTGGGTTAGCCCTTCACTACTTACAGTACTGTCAATTCTTGCTGAAATTTCTCAAAATTCTCCAAATGGCCCCACCTCTATGAGCTCCTCTTCAGTCATGATCATATCTTGGAGCCACTAATTGCACAAGAAGGAGCAAGGAATATGAAATTCCTTATGAAATAGCATCTTGCTTTGGATTTGAGCCCTCTAGGATGGGTGACAGTCCACAGGCCACCAGCCCCTTTTATAAGAAGGTGCTTCGCTCTGCTAGTTGGCTCTGGCAACTACCATGGTTAATCCTGTTGGCCTGGCTTGGCCAGTGCTGGCATGTGCTGGCCTGGCTTATGCCATGGGTGCCAGGCAGGCTCACTGCAACCACTGATACAGCCGGTGATGCACAAGGAGAGTTCAGCCCTTGCAAAAATTTCTCACTGTTGGCATGCTGATGGAGGAGGCTGTCAGGGCACTGCAGGGAAGCAAAGCTTAGAGAAGCCCTGAGAACTCGTTTGCTTTTACAGACCTTCCCTGAACTGCTGCCCAGAAGTGGTCAAAGCAATTTGTCTCCAGCCAGGAAAATATGAGGGTTAGAAGCTAAAATGTTGGATTCCAAATACTGGCTGGGATCTGCAAGCATCAGGGTCACCCCTGCTTGCAAGTCTGACAGAACAGGAGTGAAAACCACTGCTGATCCAATAGGTCCTTTAGAGGCAGGCTGAAGAAATACCACTTGTCTCTGTAAAAGCAAAGCCAAATCCCATCTCAGCAGTTGGCAACTCATTACAGGAAAGATAAACTGGAGAGAGCTTAGGGAAGCTCAGGGCAGTGAATGGAGCTTGCAGAGAGAGAGATTAGTGTGCCAGTAAGGGGAGGACAGAGCTTGCAGGGGATGGAGCAGCTCTCCTGTTCAGGGAGCCTCCTCACCAGCATGAACTGTGCCTGTAACAGGAGATGGACTGCAAGGCAGAGCACCTTCTGCTAAAGAACCCTGCCCTCTCCTGCTGCCTCCTTTCTTGACTCACTGCGTTAGGGACCTGCTCCCACCCATCCCACTGCTGTCACTGCTCTGCTGAGCAAGGCTGCTGGGTTAAACTAAATCTGGAGACCAAAGAGACACAAAGCAGACCAGCATGAATGCCACCGACACAGAGTGTCATCAGGGGGGTGGCCAGAAGCTGCAGAGCCGCTCTACTTTGTCCAGCCAGCTCTATCCTCCAGCACGTGCTGCCAGTACTGCTGAAGGCA